TTTTGCTTGTATAGTTATTTTGGAAAACAAATGTGTTTGTTTCAAAACAGAGTTGAGAGAAGAAATTAGCTCATCATTTCGATGCAGAGAAATGAATTCGAGAAGTCTGGTTTCTAGACTCTTAATGCACCTTCCACTGGAACATTGGTGAATAATGATTTGACATCAAAAGAAATCACGAGTAAATTTCTAGGAGAAATGCTTTTAACTTTTTTTACAAACGCTATTGAATTTTTTATGGTGTAAACGTTATTATCTAATAGAGTTGAAAATCTAGAAACTAAATATTTAGCTAATGGATACGAGGCAATGCCTAAATTTAATACAATACGGCGGAAAGGAATACCCACTTTTATGAACTTTGGGAAGATCATATAATCTGGCATAATTCGCAACACATGCGATAAGCGACTGTTTTAAGTTGGACTGAAAGGATTTGTGGAGATTCGGTCGCAGTTCCTATTTTTGACAGGTCCGAAGATGAAGGATCTTTAGGGATCGGATATATGGTCCTTCGTTTAAGATTTAGTGACACCATCGAAGTTTTCTTACAAACTTCTTTTACAATCTTCCTGTTCAAGTAGTTCAAAAAATCTTCCCATTTTAAACATCAAGTCAATAGTTAATATTTCTAATGTTAGGTTTTCAGAAGAACAAGAGAGAATTCTAAAATATATTTTAACTTCTCACAAACCTGAAAACCTCGATTCCAAAGATTTTTGGCTCCTATCGAAAAAGCTTTCAAATTCAGTAAAGTTTCAGATTCACAGAAAGAAATGATTAGTCATTTTTATTGCTCATATGTGAAATTAAATAATAAACCTTTGAAACCAAATCTAACTCGAGAGAAAGAGCTAAATGCCCGAAATTCATTCTAACCTCGGATGTATCATTTCAAAGGCCGACAAAGGTGGCCAGATAGTCGTCATGGATAAGAACACTTACATCGATGGTGTCACTAAACTCTTAAACAAAGGACCATATAATCCGATCCCTAAAGATCCTTCATATTCGGACTTGTCAAAAATAAAAACTGCCATCAAATCTTCGCAAATCATTTCGGGCAACTTAAAACATTCACTTATCCCATCTGTTGTGAATTGTGCCAGATTATATGCTCTTCCCAAAATTCATAAAAGTGGTATTTCTTTCCGCCCTATTGTATCAAATTTAGGTACTGTCTCGTATCCATTAGCTAAATATTTAGTTTCTAGATTTTCAACTCTATTAGACAATAACATTTACAAACATAAAAAATTCAATAGAGTTTGTAAAAAAATTAAAAACATTTCTCCTAGTAATTTACTCATGGTTTCTTTTGATGTAAAATCATTATTCAATCAATGTCCCAGTGAAGGGTGCATTAAGATGTCTAGAAACCAGACTTCTCGAATTTCATTTCTCTTGCATCGAAATTGATGAGCTAATTTCTCTCACTCAACTCTGTTTGAAACAAACACATTTTGTTTTCCAAAATAAATATTACAAGCAAACTGAGGGATTAGCCATGGGAAGCCCCCTCAGTCCCATCCTGGCTGATATCTACATGCATTATTATGAATCAAAATTGTTTGAAACTTTAAACTTCCCGGCATACTTTTACTCTGTTTGAAGGTAATAAAGATGATTTAAATAAAGTTCTTTCAACAATGAATTCTATTGATCCTGCTATTCAGTTCACTTTTGAACTTGAAACTTGCAATTCTCTTCTGTTTCTCGTCATTCTGGTCACACGTAACACATCCAACTTCAGTACTACGGTTTACCGTAAACCTTCATCGGTTTGCCTTTCACCACACTTTAAATCATGTCATCCGACCAAACAAAAGTTAGCTTCATTTTATTCCTATGTTTTCCGTGCTCTTCAAGTTTGCTCCTCCAAACTAACCCTTGATGAAGAACTAAATTATTTAAAAGCAATAGCTATTGACAGGAGCTATCCACCCAACATTATTAATCAAGCAGTTAAAAAATTCTCATCTCAAGGCACACTCTTGTTTTAGGAGATTATAAAAATTCTGTTGTCATTCCCTTCTTTCCATCAATTAGCTATAAAGTTGCACATTATTTGCATTACGCATATTTGCAGCCGTAAAGGTCTTATGCGCACTCGTAAACACCTATGCGCATGCGTGAATGCAACGCATGCACAGAAAGTTTGTTTTAACTTTCGGGTTGTTTATTCTCCCATCAATAAAATTCCGAGTTCCATACTCAAGGACCTCATTCCGGATATGAATTCCTGGGGATATTTATAGGATTTTTGTTCCAGTTGGCCATGTAATTTACATTGGCCAAACTAAGAGAGCCTTAAAATTTCGCATCAAGGAACATGAAGCATATGTTAGAAAAAAGGAAACACAGAAGTCTTCTGTTGCTCAACACTGTTGGTCCGAAAACCACGCTTTCAATTTTTCTGCTGCCAAAATTATTCAAAAAACATCTTCCATTGGAGAACTGGATTTTCTAGAGGCATTTCACATTCATAAAAATCTTTCTGTTCTAGTTAAGGATCCTAATTCCAATCCAAATTTGCCTTCGGCCTTTTAAGAAATTATGTTTTAGTTCTGGTTTCACCAACAGATGGCGCCACTTGCTTATTCTTGTCCAGGGTTTCTTATCATTATTTCTTATCTTGTTCATTTGCGGTTTTGCAGCTGAGGATGGTGGTTCGGTAAAACCATCGAAACTAGTCCTGTGAAAATTTTGTAAATATAACGCTGATTTTTGTTGTTTGACTTCTGAATTAGTAATTTCTTTCAATGTAAGTTGTTTAAGTTGCTTCGTTTCATGTGATAATACTTTCTCTTTAATTCTATTAAACAGACATAATTTCTTGTTTATTTACAAAGTTCCAATGTTCAAGTCCTATAATCGCTGTGTTGAGAATACCGACTAATTTGTCAATCGAAATTTTTTCAATAACCTCTGGGTCACTTTCTTCACTATCGGAAGCGAATTATAATGAGGAAGAACTTGATTTAAATCATATCAAAGACGGAGTACATCGAGATGAAATACTACATTTAGTAAGGAATTATAAGCCAAATAAAATAAAAACATCTGCCCTGAAGATAAGGATAGTGCTGACAGATCAACTTCCAATTCATTGCACGCCGTGGCATGAAATTGATAAACAGATTTCGGATTTCGAAACACACTTTTGCTTTGTAGATCCTTTACGTATTAGTAAATATATATCGGAAATTCTATTTGACATAATCGAAAGTTCAAGCTTACTTTTATAAAATTGCTCTAACAGTCTGCAAAATTGCTCTAACAGCCGGATCCAATTCGAAGATTAAGGAACAACGCAATCTGCAATATAAACTGAATTAGATAATTTTAGCTTAGCTTATACCATCCATTACACATTAAACGCGCATGCGCAGATGCATATTTGCAGCCGTAAAGGTCTTATGCGCACTCGTAAACGCCTATGCGCATGCGTGAACGCAACGCATGCACAGAAAGTTTGTAGCTTTGAGGTCCGGATTATAGATCATTCTGGATTATGAGTCAAAAGTCATTAATTCGGACACCCATAATCCGGAATGATCTATAATCTGGACCTCAAAGCTAAAAACTTTCTGCGCATGCGCCGCGTTGACGCATGCGCATAGGCGTTTAAGACCTTTACGACTGCGCATTTGCGTGTGCACAAGCAGAATATTTTCGCTGCGCTTTAATGTATAACGGACGGTATAAGCTAAAATTATCTAATTGTCTATTTCAGTTAATGTTGATGATTGCGTGTTCCTTAATCTTCGAATTGATCCGGCTTATTATTTTTTGCAGACTGCAAGAGCAATTTATAAAAGTAAGCTGAACTTTCGATTATTCCAAATAGATTCCGATGCTGGAGCTCCCAAAGGATCTACAAAACGAAAGTAGTTTCGATGTCCATCAAACAAAAAGTGGAATTGCTCCAAAAATGGATAAAGGTATATCCTTTGTTTATCTAACCGTTCCAAATCTTTTATCAATTTCACGCTGCTCTGCGGGGGGGAAGGGGGGGACATGGCGGCGTGCAATGAACTGGAAGTTGATCTGTCACACTATCGTTATCTCAAGGCAGATGTTTTTATTTTATTCGGCTTATAATCCTTATTAAATTAGTATTTCATCTCGATGTACTTCGTCTCTGATATGATTTAATCAAATTCCTCGTCATTATAAATATCACGAATACATCAATAGTTTTCTGGTTGCAATTTTCTATTTCGCTATGCATAATGTATGCTTTCGCATGCGCGCGTTGAAAGAAACGTTAATAAAGTAAACAAATAAATATTAAGTTTTTTTTTTTGTAAATTTTGATACCCTTTAGATCATATTGCTCATTATTTTATAAATTACGGTTTCATATTTTTAATTTTATAATTTCTGCATGCCATCTTACGAGATTTAAACTGATGATCTATAATCCGGAAAAATCGATAATCCGGAATCACCGAAGTCCCGACGAGTCCGGATTAAAGACTTTTGACTGTATATATATATATATGAGGGAGTCAGAATCTTTAAAATTCCAAGAGTCGGAGTCAGTCATTTTCTCTACCGAATCCACAGTCCTGCAATTAGATTGAGTTATTCAAAAACCTATGCCAGACTAAGGTTGCTTTTTTGCCAAATTTTAAATGGTTGACTAAATTCGTAAACAAGCTCTTTGGCGATTTAATCCTTTATATGGCAATGTTTTTCTGACGTAATTTTTATAACTTATTTAGTGACTTTAAAAAAGTTATTCAGTTACTTTCATAACATTAACGAAATTGTTGATCACAATAAGCTATGTATTTTCAATTTTTTCCTATGTAAACAGGTACAACTTTAAGGAATTAGATAACAATATCCGAATGATTATATTAAGTGCTATCACCCTGAGTGGTATCTATCATAATAAATCAAAATTGCATTTTATATTTTTCCTTTCATTTAAGAATTAAAACTTGTCTGAATATTTTAGCCACATTTAATAATACATCTTATGCACTTACCCTTAATGCAGATACATCATTTGGAAATCCATGAACTATGAGAACCATATCCCTATAGAGTATCAAATAACAAACTTACTATAATAAAACAGAAAATTAAAAACACATAACAAATATACATGTAAGATTATAAAAAAAGTTATGGAAATTATGTAAAAAAGTAACTGATATAGATTATGAATAATATTCTATGAATTTTCAAGGCCATCAGACATAAATAGCAAGACAACACTCGGCCACATATTGCAAGACTGTCCCAACAATGTCTTCAAGGATATGACATACTCCCTTGGCCTGCTAGGTCACCAGACTTCTTGCTGATTGAGCATATTTGGAAGGCAAATGCAGCCGTCTTGGAATACTGGTGAATTGACTGCCCAGTTGGAAAGATTATAGTGTGATCTTCCACAAGGGGTCATCGGTGACCTACTTAATTCGATGCCGTACCATTTTCCAGCCTGTATAGCCGACAGAGGTGGCTATACTACTTGCTGATTTGTAACATTTTTCATGTCATTACTTCTTAACAAAATGATCTTTTGTTCTGAATTTATAATCATTCATTTATCTTCTCATACACTGCATACACATTAAGTTTCACGATAGCAGTTCACTTCTTTTTGGAACTTTAAGCAGATACAGATAAGTAATAGTAAAACTTTAAGCAGATATCGATAAGACGTATACTTATCTATCTTTACCTTAAATAAAATGCAAACAAATGCAGGCCCATCTAAACTCATTTTAAACAGTTATTCCAAAGAAAATTTAAATTGTGACTAACACTTATTTATTCATTATGCCACATGAAATCTTTTTGAAAACGATTACGGTAAATATCATCCATTTATTGTTAATTGATAAAGGCTAGTACATCAGGGACCATGGAGAGGGATGCCTACAAGGGCCAACTATCATGAATATGTGAAAAAGGAAAATAAAAAAAAATTTTTTTGGCTCACAGCTTTTAAATATCACCAACAAGAGCAATAAACCACCAAAGATAGTCTTACTGTGTATTTAAATTTGGCATAATGCATTTAAATATTGTATTTTGGCAATACATGTATTTAAGTTTGGCGAAATAAAGTGCATGCGCTATTTGTTGACCCACAACAGGAGCAAACTTTTGGTTACATATAAAAAAGATAAGAGCAGATCAATTTTTAATTAATCTTAAGATATATATTAATATTCTGTAAGATAATTATTGCTGTATGTGATGTTTATTTGGTTAATCTTTGGATTATGGTAACTTGGCGATTTTTTGGCAAAAATTTGGCAACCAACCCTGCTACAGCAACCTTCTACTTTTTTTTTTCGCCGCCATTTTGTCTTCACGAAGTAAAGACAGGCTTCTTTTTTTTTTCTTTTTTTTTTTTTTTTTATTTACGCAACATTTTTTCCAACAATCTTCTAGCCGAATTACGCTTATGCTAACGACATTTTGGAGGCGATAAAGGTTACTACCTAGGACTTTGGCAATAATGTGAGAAGTACTCAGTTCCGATTACACATTATTTTGTGTGAGGGAAATGAGAGATCATGAGATATGTCATGTGACATTAATGGACGAATTACTGTTCTTTAATTGGAAAAGGGGGCGGAATTTGGAAAACTGTAGCACTATATTATTTTGTATTAAGCTTCGTTGTGTGTTGTGTGAAATAGTGGAAGTGTGCGTGCCATGTAACGAAGATTCTGAAGATTAGGTAAGTTAGTATTTTTAATCATTTGAGGATATTATTTTTATGCATTGTTCTAAATGTAAGGAGTAAATAAATTAATATGATATTATTGGAAAATTGTTATTAGCAATGATTTAGTTTAAAGTAATTAGGATTGTAATCTAATTTTTATTAATTTACTGTATGTGCTTATTTATATTTTAAGTAGTGTTTTTTAATTTAATTATATTTTAATTTAATGATCGTGATTTTGTGAGTTATACGTTTGTAGTATTTTTTGGAATATGTTTGAGTAGAATACGTTGAGTGTTTTCATGCATTTTCGTGAATTTTTCTAATTTATGAGAAAAAAGCAGTGTACATGGATATAGTGAAGAGTGTGCGCAATGCCATTTTTGTGCAATTCTGGGATTTTTTTTTAAGTAAAAATAAGTCGACGTGTACATGGTTTAGTGATATTTCAATTAAATGATAGTTATTTTGTGAATTTTATGTTTGTAGGAATTTGGTATATGTTTCAGTTGAAGTAAACGTGCATGGAAGTAATTTAAATACAGTCAAAAGTCTTTAATCCGGACTCGTCGGGACTTCGGCAATTCCGGCTTATAAATCATCAGTTTAAATCTGGTAAGATGGCATGCAGAAATTATAAAATTAAAAATATGAAACCGTAATTTATAAAATAATGAGCAATTATGATCTAAAGGGTATCAAAATTTACAAAAAAAGAAACTTAATATTTATTTGTTTACTTTATCAAACATTTCTTTCAACGCGCGCATGCGTAAAGCATACATTACACATAGCCGAAATTAGAAAATTGCAACCAGAAAACTGTTTTATTTGTATTCGTGATATTTATAATGACGAGGAATTTGATTTAAATCATATCAAAGACGGAGTACATTGAGATGAAATACAACATTTAGTAAGGAATTATAAGCCGAATAAAATAAAAACATCTGCCCTGAAGATAACGATAGTGCTGACAGATCAACTTCCAGTTCATTGCACGCCGCCATGTCCCCCCCCTCCCCGCCCAGAGCAGCGTGAAATTGATAAACAGATTTCGGAACGTTTAAATAAACAAAGGATATGCCTTTATCCATTTTTTGGAGCAATTCCACTTTTTGTTTGATGGACATCAAAACATACTTTCGTTTTCTAGACCCTTTGGGAGCTCCAGCATCGGAAATTCTATTTGACATAATCGAAAGTTCAAGCTTACTTTTATAAAATTGCTCTTACAGTCAGCAAAAAATAATAAGCCGGATCCAATTCGAAGATTAAGGAACAATGCAATCATCAACATTAACTGAAATAGATAATTAGATAATTTTAGCTTATACCGTCCGTTACGGTTACGCGCACACGAAAACGTATTCTGCGCTTGTGCAGACGTAAAGGTCTTGCGCGCATGCGTAGATAGATTTTTAGCTTTGAGGTCCGGATTATAGATCATTCCGGATTATGGGTGTCTGAATTAACGACTTTTGACTGTATTTGACACTAAGTATTTGTAACCATTTGTAATGTTTGCGGTATGAATTCATTGGTGACATTTATAATATAATAGATAATTTAAAGGTAAAAGTTTTTGGATATTTTATTTATTTTATACATGGAAATGTTCATCTTTGGAAAGGGTATATACTTTTTGCAATCAGGTAATTTCATATATGTTCTTTTTAACGGATTTAAAGATTCACAAAATTTTCATGCATTTTCGTGAAATTTTTCTAATTTATGAGAAAAAAGCAGTGTACATGGATATAGTGAAGAGTGTGCGCAATGTCATTTTTGTGTAATTCTGGGATGTTTTTTTAAGTAAAAATAAGTCGATGTGTACATGGTTTATGTGTATGTGTTATTTTGAAAAACGCGTAAGGAGTATGGTATTGTGCACTTTTTCCCAATTTGCAGTGAATATTTGTTATGATTAAGCAGTTTTGTTAGATAAAATTTCTAGCATAAGTGTAATTCGGCTAGTAGATTGTTGGAAGAAGTGTTCAGTAGATAAAAAGAAAAGAAACATGTATTTACTTCGTGAAGACAAAATGGCGGCGGGGAAAAAAATAGAGGGTTGCTGTAGGAGAGTTGGTCGCCCAATTTTCGCCAAAAAATCGCCAAGTTACCATAATCTAAAGATCAACCTTTAAATTATTTCCATGCACGTTTACTTCTACTGAAATGTATTCCAAAATGCTACAAATATATAATTCACAAAATAACTATCATTTAATTAAAATATAATTAAATTAAAAGAAAGTGCAGAATCGCAAACTCCTTGCCGCGTTTTTAAGAGTGGCAAATACACAATAACCATGTACACGTCGACCTATTTTCACTTAAAAAAACATCCCAGAATCGCACAAAAATGTCATTGTGCACACTCTTGACTTTATCCATGTACACTACTTTTTTCTCATAAATTAGAAAAATTTGCACGAAAATGCAGGAAAAATTTTGTGAATCTTTAAAGTCAGTAAAACGAACATATATGAAATTACCTTATCGCGAAAAAGTATATATCCTTTCCATGCATGAACATTTGCACACATAAAATAAATAAAATATCCAAAAACATTTCCCTCTAAATTATCTATTATAAACGTCACCTGCAAATTTATAATGCAAACATTAAAAATGGTTGCAAATACTTAGTGTCAAGTATTTAAATTATTGCCATGCACGTTTACTTCTACTGAAACGTGTTCCAAAATGCTACAAACATATAATTTACAAAATCACTATCATTTAATTAAAATATTATTAACATTAAAAAAACACTACTTAAAATATAAATAAACACATACATTAAATTAATAAAAATTAGCTTAAAATCTTAATTACTTTAAACTAATTCATTGCTAATAACAATTTTCCAATAATAGCATATTAATTTATTTATTCCTTATATTTAGAACAATGCATAAAAATATTATCCTCAAATGATTAAAAATACTGACTTACCTAATCTTCTTCACAATCTCAATCGCATTTGTATGTGCACCTGTTTCAGGATCTTTAAAATGATACTTATGGTTAACAGCAAGATGTTGAAAACCTTCATCCTCCAAACAGACATACGACTTCCAGCAATCAGATATTATTATTGTACCCAGTAGAATATACTGCTTAATAAAACTTAAAAAGCAATCTTTACTTCTATCTCGCACAACCTTAAAAAAACACTATTACTAACCCTTTCAATCCCACTAAATACCCATTTCGAATTCACTTCACGTAGGGCCATGGGATCCAATAATTAATCAACACTGTTTCACACAACACAGAATGAAGCTAAATACAAAATGCTATAAAGTACTACAGATATTTTTCCAGATTTCCCCCCTTTTCCGATTAAAGAACTGTGATTCATCCATATATGTCACATGACATATCTCATGATCTCTTATTTCTCTCAGATAAAATAATCCGTAATTGGAACTGGGTACTTCTCACATTATTGCCAAAGTCCTAGGTAGTAACCTTTATCACCTCCAAAATGTCGCCAAACTGCCTGTAACCATATTCCAAAGATTAGCTGTTTATTTTACAATGTTATTTTAATAAATCTTATTGCATTCACCATAATTTGTTATTCAATGTTTGAAAGCTGGACTGACATTTACACTAACAATTACTTAATCAGTACCTTCTTCACGAGAAAAGATGCGAGTAGGCTGCTTGTTAATAAATTTTCTTTTTTAAACAATATATTTTTGCCTGAAGGAAATAAGAGTTGTGAGTAGACTTGGTTTTAATGTATTTTCGGTACTTTTCTGTTTTGCCGGCACAGGCATTAAAGTCACCAATAATGGTACAATTGATGCCAAACTTAATATCCTCACTGCTAACCTTTTATGCCTCACTTTCAAAATAATTTTCAGCCATTTCTTATCAGATTGATTGGTAGAAGTATATTTTAGGGTACCCCTTGGCGAAACTTGGTGGTAGATGTTTGTGCAATTCTTTGACTTGTTATTTTGGCCTGGGTAGTGGTGATTTTTGGCGCAAAAATTGCGGCTACACAAGCCAAAATAACAAATAAAAAAATTGCACAAACGCGATATCCACATCGACCTATTTTCACTTGAAAAAAATCCATAAATTACACAAAAATGGCATTGTGCACTCCCTTGACTTTATCCATGTACACATTGACCTATTTTCACTTGGAAAAACATCAGAGAAACTATGCTTTATGTACTCAAGCGAGTGCATAAAACACAAACTACACTTTATGCACTCGCTTGAGTTCATCCATGTACACATCGATGTATTTTCAGTAGAGGCAAACAAAAAATACATAATCTCAATAAACTACATTTTAAACCAAACAATAAAATAACACAAAAAAGGATTGGATTATTCAATTATGGCAAAGCACACGAGGGCTATCTGCCTAAAGGGAGGAATGCCTTCGTGGAGGACTTTCTAAGGGAAACTGGCTCGTATACACGTTACACATGGGGAAAACCACGAAAACGCCCATGCAGCCAGCCCGTTCGCGGGATTCGAACCTCAGACCGAACTACCAGTGTTCAGCGTCTTTACGGCTCGGCCGCTGGTGGACCCCACAAAAAAAAAAAAAACCTGTTATGTATTTCAGCACTACACAAAGCAAATATTCCCTTACCTTATTTAGAAATTCATTCGTCTTCAGTCTGTGGCACACAAAATTCCTTAACAGCATTCAAAAACTTCCTAAAAAAATTATTTGAACTACAACCCGTATCTCGGCGTCACCACAGAAATTCACAAAAATAAGACTAAAAAATATACTATGTAGTTCAGGACTATGACTACTAAGTAAACTTTCATTTACACACTAGTCAATTAATGCACTTTTCCCCTTTCATTCCAAATCGTACAGAAACTTCAAATTAGTCCTACTACGTTCAGCCATTGTACCATCTAAACAATGAAACAAGCAATGTACTTCCTAAGCAACACACACTACAAAAGCCATAATTCAAAACTTCCCAGAATAATGCAAATGATTATGTCATAATAGGGTTTTCATAATATTCAACTTCTCAGGTTACCATAAATGATACAACAACTTTGCGATAAATGAAACAACTTTGTGATAATACAAGGGGTACCTTAAAGTCAACTCTAACCGATTGATTGTTTCTTTCAATACTGGCATACAATTACATAAAATTTTTACCAGATAGTTCAATTTTATGACATAAGACCATTCACAGCAATTAAGTCAATTAGGATGCAATCACACTGCTCACCCGAAAGCAAAAATATAGATAAGTCAAGGGTTAAATTCATCAATTTTAATGAGAATGCACTAGCAAAGTAAAGCACTACCTATTTAGTAAGCCATTCGTACGAACTGAAATAATTCTTGCATTTAAACTTGTATTTCAAATTAAGATCACTTGGGGTCACATGATATGAAAAGGCAAATCAGGATATTGAACCATGAACATCTCATAACAACAGTTAGACCATTTCTCTCACTTTGCTTTGCTACTTTGCAGTGTGCTTTCCTGTTGTTCAACCAGGGTCTTTCAGTAAAATGGATAACAGAAAAAAAATTTGAAGCATAGCAACCAGAAAAAGAGAGGGGGTGAGCACATTCCTGAGCAATAAAGCTGAAAAGTAAACATTAATTATATTCTTTCAAGCTTATTATTACAGCTGTTTTATATTGCACAATATCATGTATGAAACAAGCCAGTATTTTCTTTTCTAAAATCCTTTCTGAACACATACAGATCTTTTAAATTCTACTCTTTGCACACTATTTATTTTATGTATAATTGCAAAATATTTTAATAATATAAAGCGCAAAAGAAACTAACCAGGGTCCTTTGTCGTTTGTTTTCCATGCCCCACCAGCTTTCAGTCCTTTATTATGCTGTTTTATTCGCCTGTTTGGATCAACGGTGAAACCTATGTACGTTTTTCCTTTATGTTTTTCATTTAAAGAACATAATAAATAACAGCCAAAAAAATTCTCTACTTCCATATGAATTTCAAAAACGATTATCCTTCAAATCACCGCCTTCGGGATTTAAACGCAAAATGTTGCCAGACGGAGAAAGCGTGCCATTGGTTGCTGGTAGTGACGTCACCCGGGTGACAAGATATATGGATTGGCGCATCTGCTACATGATTTTGGTAATGGGAAAAATGTCAACTAAAGCAAAATGAATCTTTTATATGTGGGAATTATAATAACATACCGGAAATACCGGGTATATACTTTCTGATTAAGCATTTTGTTAAAGCGAATGTTTATTTTATGCACAGAATTCGTACGAATGCTCAAAATACTTGTAAACATTTCATCCTTTTCCTTAAAGGAAAGCATTAGAAAACGAAAAACGATATTTAGGTTAATTAAAGGACATAAATGTTGTAAAACGAGGTATTTTCCAATATATTTGTGCTGTATTGTCTGCATTAAGTAAATCTTTTTGAATAGAATACATGAAGGCATAACTGCTAAAACCATGGTAATAACATAATAAAAAAGTATTTTCCAATTTATTTTCATTGCTCATGCATTTTTTAATACAAACGAATTTTGACATTCCATGAGAAATATATGATTGTGATTTTCATTTAAAATTGCATAAGCAAAAATATATATAAAAAGATTCAAATCAATAAATTCATATTTAATTACCCTAAAATTCTACAAAATTTCTTAATATCACATCCTTATACTTTTAAATGGACTTAATCACATTCTTTTAAAGTCACTTACTTATACTGATTCACTTCAGATTTCAGCAGAAGTGTATATATTTTCAGTATTGTTTGAAACACTCTTATAATCCCTTACACTCCTAAGATTTCTATATAATCAGAGCTTAATTTCTAAAATTAGAAATGCCGGAGCCCTATGGAAGACCGTCAGCAAAGAGGAACAGGAGTAAATAAATAAATAATATGACTATTAAACTCATTAATAATTTTAAAATTAAATAGTTAATTATTATCAAATTAATTAATAACTATTTAATTAATATTTATAAATTGATGTTTAATCAATAATTAATTTGTTAATTATTAGATAATTAATTAATATTATTTATTGAAATAATTAAAGATTAAAGTAATTAAATAATTAAAATTAAATAAAATGTAAAGAGAAAAATTAAAATTTAATAAGCGGTTTTTAATAAAATTTTATTGTTGAAATAAAATGTTAGGAATTCTAAATTTTTTCCTTTGAAATTGTGGTTTAGTTTTATAAAAAGAAGTACCGGAGCTTTCCCTAGCGTGCCTTCGTGGTGTAGTGGTTCTGCGCACTGAGCCGGTATTTCAGAGGTCCGTGGTTCGATTCCCGGCGAAGGTGGTTGCATGTTTTTCATCTTTTCTGCTTCCAATTAAGCTAATGACTCTACAAGTGGCGCCCGAACTAAAAGAGTTGTGGATGATGATTCTCCGCACCCAGGATTTGGCGACTAGGTCCCCTAAAACCCTAGTCGCTCTTTAAAAAGGGGAGTATATAAGGTATTTCTCCCACTTCCCTAGCATGCCTTCGTGGTGTAGTGGTTCTGAACACTGAGCCGGTATTTCAGAGGACAGTGGTTCGATTCCCGGCGAAGGCGGTTGCATGTTTTTCATCTTTTCTGCGTCCAATTAACCTAATGACTCTACAAGCTCATCTTATCTAGGGTTTTGGTGCGCTCCGGCTAGAATTGGAATGAAGCAAATGTATAAAAAAAGTGATTTTAAAGCTGACCAGCGGACATCTGATATCGCTGGTGGTTCTTGATTTGCATCAACCGTTATTAGAGTTTTGTACTCTAGTTGGCGCTGTGCTCTAAGGCCTTTGGTTGGAAATAGAAAAATAAGCGCTTTTACGCAACTTAGATTAGTATCTAAGTTAAACAAACATGGAAATATTATTTGCTGTATGGGAAATGCAAAATAAAGTTGTAACTTAATAAAGCTGACCATTTTTTTTTCTGTGCAGTTAAAAAAAGGGGGCACTAGATATAATCAATATAAAGGGGAAAAATAGAGAAGTTTCATGGAATAATGATGTTGAGCTTAGTGTTAATTCAACCGCAGAATAAATGTAAAAGCTTAAGAGTACGTAAGACGTGGCTCCGCCATAATCGTGCAGCGATTATTCCTCAAATGAAGTTATTTTACACAGCGAATTTAGACTCTTCAGTACTGTATCAGACACTTTGTCAGATTCTGTCACCCAGGTTTTATCTCATAACTAAAACAGCTCTCATCATCTTGTTACTTAACCTAGATTTTTCTTACATAAGAGAAAATAATCTTTTAACAGGTACAATAAATCCTAGAAGATAAAGGAATCAATTCTATAAAAATCCTAAAAAGTCCAGGCATCATTCATTAATTTTAGAAAATATATGTTCCCAGCTATATGATACGAGAGTGTTATAATATCTACTTATGCTGGCATAATAAAATTTCGCTTACATTCTTAAAGGAGCCAAATGTCACCATTAAGACTATTTTCAGAAAGTTAATTATACAGCAGGTTCTAAAAACTGTTGGAAATTGACATTCATATCGGTACAGTTAAAACTACTTAAATAATTTTTTTTAACTCAAAGCAATTTAACATGAATGTTGAATTTAGGATGTGTATAATTTGAATATATACTGCATGTTTATTAATGCATTTGTCAATGTATTACATATTATTGCACTACAATTAAAATAAAGTAGAGGCAAATACATTACAATCTGAAACATAAAATTACCAAATTACTCATCAAAACATGAATTAAGTACATTATATATACATTTTAAAAATTACATTTAAATTAAAATAAGCTCTTTCTTTATATATAAGGAAAACACAAATATCTTATTTTCTCTAAAACTGAATTAAAAAATTGTTTATCTGATAGATCTATAGCCAGAAGCTTATAATCATACTGATATGAAAACAAGCGAACTATTCCTTACCTTTAATTCAGAAGTTATTGCCGTCTTTGATGTGGATGGCTCTGGTAAAATATGGCCTAATTTATCGACAAGGGTCTATGCTATAGGTTTGGTAAGTCGAAATAATCCAATAAAAATAGAATCGTTAGATATAGATATATAAAATAGAATCTTAAGAAATTAAAATATCCATTACCCTTTATTCCAATGGCCGTGACGAATTTCTTTAAAATGCCTGTTTTGAATTTTTTTCTGTACAGTGTGTACATTAATAGAACGCATCTGAATTAATTTATATCTTATGCCTCGCACTTGCCCTTTTAATCTTTTCCAATTAGGCTAATTCTAAATTAGCAGTAAATTTGGAGGTTAACATCGGCAGTATACAATGTAGTTCTTCAGACATACTTGGACAGTAGATTTTTTCTTAGTTCATTTCTTTTCCGCATCATTTGTAGCAGTGGTCTTCAAGCTGCGTTCAGCGCAAAGTCGTAGCTAAGGTTTTCAGCGGCCAGGGACAGTTGAAGATTTCGCGCGCCCTCTTGTTTGCTAAGAATGGAAAATATTTAATTCTAAAATTCGTAACATCAGTTTGGCTTCTCATGGATGCCGCGCCCAGGGATAGATGTCCCTCCTTGTCCTTTAGCTACACCCCTGGTTCAGCGGAATCATAGCGTTTCATGTAGCCCTTCTAGAGGTTTGTAGTGATTACGTTATGCAAGAGACCTCGATAGTTTCGAGTGAGTAGTTGCTTGCTCGTGTCACCATCTATTAGGACCAATCAGAAGTGCTGCAGCCTATGAGTTTCGCATGCCCTTTAACCTTGGGATTCGATCCTGGGTTTGTTTAATGCTAGTCGAGTTCTCTACCAAGACAGCTCTCTTGCGCTAGGTTCAAGAATTCCAACTATTTCAAGTTTGCGAGTATTGAGTTGCTCTCGAGATCGCTACGCATTATTCTCCCAAACATCTCTGATGTGATATTATGAGAAGTTCGATTTGTGGGTGTGATTGCGAGCCCAGTGCGTTGATGTGATTGCGTTTGATGGGCCGCGACTGCGGTGTGTGGACATGTGCAGTTGGATCCGTTGATGGCTGGGGGGGCATGGTTGAGAAACCCCGTTTGTTGGCATGTGTGTCGCCGTTATGTTGAGATGGAGCTTGTGTGACATAGTTAGTCATTTTTCCTCAGTGGAGGGAAGTGTTTGTAGTTCTGCGGGTCACCAATGTCACGCGAGGGACCTCGGTGGTTTTGAGTGAGTATTGGCTTGCTCTTGTCAGCAACTATGAGCACCAATGAGAAGAACTGAGTTTCGCATGCCCTTGAAGATGGTAATGACCTAATGCGAGCCGAGTGCTTTACCACTAGCGCAAAAGAGCTTCCGTGTGCTAGGTTCAAGAATTTTTAACGCTTTCAAGTTTGCGAGCGTTGGTTGCTCTCGAGATTGCTAAAGATTCCTCAAGACAAATATCAAAATACGAAAGAATCTTTGAATGCCATCTGAATTGCAAAGTTAAACATCAAAGAAAAGAATAATTCTTTTTTGCGGTTCCTTAGAGTATTTTGAAGTAGTTCCTATTTTTATGAGAGTCTGTTCAGTCACATGTGAATAAAGCAGATTTAGGGGCAATAAAGAAGGATCCTTTGTCAGTCTGTAAGCATCAGAATTTATCCTAGATATAGTTACACTGATATAAATATAATTCTAGTGTTATTAATTATATAGTTCTTAAAATCCGTGAATTAGTTTCCATTACCTGAGCAATATAAAGCTGTGTAAATTTCGATGGCTGAATGATATTTTTTCTGTGAGCGCCAAATTCCTGACACTCTTGATATCACAACTTGCGGCAATCTATACTGTAACTAAACTAATTCCAGCTAGAACAGAGCCGATCAGGTAGCCTGGACTCAAGCACAGCTTTCTTTCAAAGGCTTCAAATGCTTAGTTTCTTCGTTCATGTGAAAAAGTGTTATGAAGAGTTATAGTGTGATTTAAAGTGCTCTAAACTTCCAGTCTTGGGCTTGGCCTGGAAGGCATAGATCCGGCCCTGTTAGAGATGAATGTGTGTGTTATGTATAAAGCTTCTGCCATACCATAAACATTTCAGGAATTTCAGCCAGCCAGAAGATTTCCTG